AGTTTTGAGCACACAGTTGATTGGACGTTTGTATTACTACTAAAAAAAAATATTTACAAATAATACAATCTTGAAGTATTTATACCGTTATGGTTGCAAAATCTCATTGTTTCGAAATATAACATTGCTTAATTTATTATTGTATTCTCTTTTCTGGTTGGGCCTTCATAAAATAACAAAATAGGTATGGACATAAAACTATAGTGCCTGGTGACGAAGATAATTAAAACAACTGTTTGGTTAAATATTCTTTGTTTTTTGAATTTCTAACTAAAATTCAAACTATTTTGTACCTCTCACATTTATCATAGATAATATTAAAATTGTCTTATTGTAAATATGTCTTACCGCTCCTCTGAAAATTTGAGTTGAAACTAGTAGGTTTGAAGCATTATGATGGTGAAATAGTAACAGAAAATAAAGAATACGTTGTAAGGTAAAGTTCACTTGTCTACCAGACAAAATTCAATACATCGTTGTTTTTCTTTTAATTTAGCATAACATGAAATAGCATGAGTAACATCTGATATAACTGACAACACATAATAAAAAACTTGAGCACTTTAACAGCAAGGATTGATAAACTTTTTATTTGAGTGATGTTCAAATAATTCAAATAATCTTTTTAAACCTAGACCCACTATGCTTAGCTTTCTAAGGTTATTTCAACTTATTTTATGGTCACATCTTGTGAATGTTTTCTCGCTTACTGGTGTAAAATACGGTGAATTTAGTTGATACAGATTTCCGCCAAGATACATCGTTTATGCCTAACTTAGCAACCAACCAACTGACTACATACAACTCTTGATAGCATTAAGATTCAGAAGATAAAAGATCCCCTAGGTGCCAAACTAATTTACTTAAGGAAATTTTACTTATTTACAGTAGTGTTATAATTAAACTTGTGATAAATATAGATTAGATAGAACATTTAAAGTATGATTTTACCTAAACCCATAATATTAAATCCTAGCTTATAACACTATTTATAAGAATATCATGTGCACACTGAAACAATTGCACAATGAAGTGTAATAACCCGACAAGTTTAAAGATAAGCATCAGTACGTGGAAGACAGTGACTAGTGAATATTCATCCACCTAATATAAATACTGAAAAAATGCCGATCATTTACCTTAAATATCAGTAAAAAGCTAAGAATATGACTTTGTGCTCAATAGTCTGTTGAGCACCAAGTCATATTCTTAGCTTTTACTGATATTTAAGGTAAATGATTCGGCATTTTTTCAGTATTTTATATTAGGTGGATGAATATTCACTAGTCACTGTCTTCCACGTACTTGATGCTTATCTTTAAACTTGTCGGGTTATTACACTTCATTGTGCAATTGTTTCAGTGTGCACATGATATTCTTATAAATAGTGTTATAAGCTAGGATTTAATATTATGGGTTTAGGTAAAATCATACTTTAAATGTTCTATCTAATCTATATTTATCACAAGTTTAATTATAAACACTACTGTAAATAAGTAAAATTTCCTTAAGTAAATTAGTTTGGCACCTAGGGGATCTTTTATCTTCTGAATCTTAATGCTATCAAGAGTTGTATGTAGTCAGTTGGTTGGTTGCTAAGTTAGGCATAAACGATGTATCTTGGCGGAAATCTGTATCAACTAAATTCACCGTATTTTACACCAGTAAGCGAGAAAACATTCACAAGATTGTGACCATAAAATAAGTTGAAATAACCTTAGAAAGCTAAGCATAGTGGGTCTAGGTTTAAAAACGATTATTTGAATTATTTGAACATCACTCAAATAAAAAGTTTATCAATCCTTGCTGTTAAAGTGCTCAAGTTTTTTATTATGTGTTGTCAGTTATATCAGATGTTACTCATGCTATTTCATGTTATGCTAAATTAAAAGAAAAACAACGATGTATTGAATTTTGTCTGTAGACAAGTGAACTTTACCTTACAACGTATTCTTTATTTTCTGTTACTATTCAACCATCATAATGCTTCAAACCTACTAGTTTCAACTCAAATTTTCAGAGGAGCGGTAAGACATATTTACAATAAGACAATTTTAATATTATCTATGATAAATGTGAGAGGTACAAAATAGTTTGAATTTTAGTTAGAAATTCAAAAAACAAAGAATATTTAACCAAACAGTTGTTTTAATTATCTTCGTCACCAGGCACTATAGTTTTATGTCCATACCTATTTTGTTATTTTATGAAGGCCCAACCAGAAAAGAGAATACAATAATAAATTAAGCAATGTTATATTTCGAAACAATGAGATTTTGCAACCATAACGGTATAAATACTTCAAGATTGTATTATTTGTAAATATTTTTTTTTTAGTAGTAATACAAACGTCCAATCAACTGTGTGCTCAAAACTTTGAAAAAAAAGCAAGTCAATAAACTGAACAATAATTTAACAGGGTAGAGAGTATCGAAATTGAATAATAATAATATTATAAATACTATAAAATGCTCGTTATTCTGGAAAATAATAAAATTGTCATTCTTCCTAGTTTGATGTAAGGTTTAAATCGCTCAGTTCATATTTAATTTAATTTTCTTCATGAATTGAGTCATGAGCTGTTGTTTTGATCCCAGCTTGCATTTTCTTGATGGATACCTTTAAATCTCTTGACGGTCATGATATCAGTAGGTCATTAAGTTGAAATTCAATATTTTTGCTGTGGATAATTAATTGTTTACAAATTGATTTCATTTTTTTTTTCTGATTGATATTCAATTAGTTGTGAAACTGACCAACTGTATTACTAAGTGCGTTCCACTCATGTTTTTATTCATCTTAAATAATTATCACACCTAAGAAAGTCGGTTGACTGTATCATAAGTGAGCTGAAGAACTGATATCTGCGTCTCTGTGCTAATGTGGTATGGCAACATGAACTTATGTACATACGTACGAAGTTCTACGTTGCAACTGACTGACTGACTGAAGAACTGATGATAGTTTTGACGATAAGTACAAACACTAACTACATGTATATCATAGGCATATATATTTAAAAGGTTTACCTTGATATAACTCATGTACTAGGTTTTGAATTACATTTTATGTGTTCAGGGTCATTCATACTTCCTAGTAGTAATAATAGTTGTAGTAGTAGTAGTAGTTACCTGAACTGAAATATGTCAAGAGAATAAAAAATTTCTATTTTACTTTACAGTTTCTTAAGTTGACACTGCTGTGATTGCAACTTTAAGTCGCTTGCTTCGTATCCTAATGTGTTCAAGTTACATTGTAGTGAACGAGAACACAGGTGGGGCGACCGGATTGATTGTATTCAACGAAAATTACAGAGTTACTCAGTAAAATTGGAAAACCATATCGTAAATTGTTAATTTGCAAAATATCAGTTCATCAAATCAAACTGGTCTGTTCCTGTTGCAAACAACATCAATCCATTGTCACTGTTCATGCGTTTCATACAAAGTCCATTGTGTTCTAACTCTTCCTTTCTCTTGATCTTCCCCCATCTTCTGCTGCCAGGCATTACGTTGACACTCACGTTATATACTACTTATAAGTAGCTCACACCACACTCGTCCCCCCTTTTAATAAGCTGTCGTCGTAGTCTTTCAAAACAGGGACCTTAGTCAGTTAATATCACCTTCCGTATTCCTTGACACGCTACATCATGAAAACAAGGGTTAAATTATTTGATTTATTTAGTTTTATTTCTGTCAAGCAAATAGTTAGGATATCATTACTTTTAAATTAATATTCTTTTGTTTTACAGTTTATTTAGAACTATCAGTTTATGAAATAATTTACTTTTTAATTTTTTGATAATACATTAATTAATATTTATTTCAGTATTTAGAATGGAAGTGAGTTTTGAAAATCATGTTTACTGAGGTACTTGCTCAGTTGGAATAATAATAATAATAATGTGTATGATTTATCGTGAAAATATGAAGCTAATTCTTATTTTGATCAATCTACAAAATCCATATCTCCCACATGTTCTATTGTTTAACTTTTAATCTAATGTTCATTTTAATGGATGTAATATTTTGTATGTAAAAAAAGTAATTTTATTAAATATGGAACTCCATTCTTCCGACTAAAGTTTTATCTTTCAATATCAATTTAATTATGTTGTTAGTGTGTATCAGAAGTTAATAGCTCTCGATAGTGTGTTGCGTATGTCTAACCACTGACTGCTTCGTCCAGTTATGTTTTGTGATGTAGGAATAAGTTGGAAAAAAAAAACTAGGGGCGGCCAAACCAAAATATGGCATAAATCCATGAAGTCACTGACAAGAGGACTTAGCCATGTCGGTAGGTGTCGACTATCTAGTTGGCGTCTGCGTGATTATAGTAATCGATGGTTAGAGACCCTGAATGATACGGCTCAAAACCGTTTGCGATGGCTCAGGTACATTAGCTCCTTGTATTCTCTCAAATCCTAAACTTCAGTGTTCCTCATCAGTTTATCTTTTTGTTTTAAGTTTCTTTTACTAGATTCTACTTCTTGAATAATATCTTCAAACCCTAATCTCTCCGATTACTGCTAAGACTTCTACTACCTCTACTACTAATGGGATTTGTATAGACAATTGTATCTCTGTGTAATATGGTATTGGCAACTTGAACTGATGTACGTACATGCGAAGTTCTACTTTGCTGTTGATTGATTGTGCTCGGTAGTGGTCCAGTTATCATTTGACTACATCCAATGATTACATATCATTGATTGATTGTCGTTATTCTATTCGTTCATTTGTTCATAAATTCCTCAAAATAATTAATAATATATTACATTCTGGTTACGAATTATAATTCCATATACTTGATTTTAAGAAAATTATACAGTCAAGTTGCTAAATTCAAATTATACGTTAGGATTGAATTAATAAACCAATTATGAAATAGTGTTTTTAAACTCATTTCACATTTAACCTAGAAAAAACAAACATTATTTTCCTACTTTCATACAATCAAACAGAAAACTTAATTATTTATTTAATTCAAACTTTCAGCTGAAGCGTCATCATCATCATCCTCATCATCGTTGTCGTCGAGAAAACGTCGATGCTTATCATCTGCTATTGTCAGATTGAAGCAAATGAAAATGGTAAACAATTTTTTTTTTCACAGTATTTTTTTTGTTTGTTTGTTTGTTTGTATGTCACGTGACCAATTATAAAACACCAATCAGAATTACACGTTAGTTTCAAAAAAGAAATTTGTGTCAACTGTAAATCCTTGTTGATCTACAACTGGGATAGCTTATTTCTTTCTATCCTGCTGCTTAGTGAAGAAGCCATTATAGTCAGGCCTTCACAAAATTCGTTATATTTCAAGCGGAAATAGTTTATATACAAAATATACCAGACTACATCATACAATAGAGTGAAAAAATACATTTATTTGTGAGGAAGCCAAAAGTAGCGGTAAATATAGGAGACTGTAAGCAATAAACTAGTAATAGATTGGGAATAATAAATCAGACAATCAATCGAGAGCTTATGACAAAAGGTATATAAACATTTGTGTTAGTGGACATAGATTGGAAATAAAGCATGACTGCGTTGTTGCACGTTGATTGGCTCTTTCGTATCCAATCAGCGCAAGTCGATACTGAGTGAACATTCTAGAATCTTTTCATGTAAGAAAACTATAAATATGCTAACGTTTTTTTCCGTTGTACCTTCTGTCTTCCCCATAACTTTGTTATTGGAATATAATCTGTTTTCCTGTTCAACCGTGTTCTGATTTTGGGAGAACGTCTCGAGTGAATTGGTGTCCGAGAATACTACTAAGCATTAGGAATAGCTGGGTTGTAATAATAAGAGAGAATTATAACAATTTGATAATCTATTTATTTAATAACTAAAATGACAATAGAAGCATTGCTCGTATATCGTGGTACAACCGAGTAAGCAGTGCTGTCGTTAGGAAGCGAGTTCTAGGTAAGGATAGTAGATCAATAGATGAAGTGGTGAAACTTCACCAGTTGCGGTGATTGGGACATGTGTTACGTATGCCTAACCACCGACTGCCTCGTCGAGCTTTGTTTTGTAGTGTAGCAATAGGTTGGAAGAAAGTTAGGGGCGTCCCAGACCGAAACATAGCACAAATCCATGAAGTCACTGACAAGTGGACTGAGTCATGTTGGTAGATGTAGACTACCTGGTTGGGGTCTACGAGACGAAAGTCACCGATAGTTAGAGACCTTGAATGGCATGGCTCAAAATCGTTTGCAATGGCACAAGTGCATCCATTCGTTGAGCTCTCTCAAATCCTAATCTTCTGGAATCGTCAGCACTTCTACCTTTGTCTTTCTAACCTCATCTCACTGAATTATACTTCTTGAATAATATCTTCAAACCCTAGTCTTCTTCATAACCATTAATACTTCTACTATCTCAATCATAATGGGATTTGATTTGACATTTGCGTCTCTGTGCTAATAATGTGGTATGGCAACATGAACTTATGTACATACGTACGAAGTTCTACGTTGCAACTGACTGACTGATGACATTATAATACTAATAATAGTTCCTAAATTTGTTCTAAGAGTTACCCCTTTCTTTAATCCTTCTATAGATATATAGTAGTTTTCCTCATTGTTTATGTTCACGTAATAATAGTATTAAATATTTGTGGTAGAAAAATTTTACATTTACCGGCAACTATTATTAAATTAACATGTAAATCTTGTGGTGATTTAATAACATCTGATTAGTTTAGTATTGAAATCTACAAACATATTGTAATGTCATGCAACTGATTTGTAAATAAATTAGTTCATTTTGTCAATTAGGACTCTGCATTTAAGAGTTAGTTATCCACTGAATAAATCTAAGACTACTCATTTATTTATTTATTTACAAAATCACTTGAACAAAAACTAAACGAAACACAACACACCATGTACTTTTATTTCATGAAAATATTGTGTAAAATCTAGTTCATTAAATATGAAGTGATGATGATAGTGTGAGAACGTTTAAGAGAATTTTTTTTATCGCATAGAAAGAGTATTTATTGATCTAGATTGATCTATGTATATCGGTAAATTAACAATAGAGAGGAAACTAGTTGTAATCCGTTTTACATCAGTATTCTTATTCAATCTGTTGAATTGATTGGATAATAAGATTTTGATGTAAATATGGGAAATACGTTTTGATGTCTGTTAACTTGCCTCCTCTTTGGTTTCAGTCAGTCAGTCAGTCAGATGCAACGTGGAATTTTGTACGTATGTACATCAGTTCATGTTGCCATACCACATCAGCACAGAGATGTAATTGTCAATTCAAATCCAATAGTAGAAGAGGTAGTAAGGGAATCAGAAGTAATCGGAGAGGTTAGGATTAGAAGATATTATTCAAGAAGTATGATTCAGTGAGAAAAGTTTATAAAGGCAAAACTAGAGGTGTTGAAGAATCCAGAAGATTAGGATTTGAGAGAACACAAAGAATAAATGCACCGGCGCCATTGCAAACGGTTTTGAGCCATGTCATTCAAAGTCTCTAACCATCGATTATTATCATCTCGCGGACCCCAACCAGGTAGTCAACAACTACCGACATGGCTCAGTCCACTTGTCAATGATTTCATGGATGGAAAACTAGAATTATATACTGTTCATCTTCCTCTTTGCTTGGAAGGTCATATTATTTATAGAACCGTCATGCTTACACAGGCGTGTTTTCGTGTTTGAACTGGATAAACTTTAGCCTCGCATGTATGACTATAAAACGTGTCATTTTTAACCTCTTCGATAACTTTTATGTGTTTCTGTATAAATAATTCTCTTGTATATACTCTTCTAGTTATGAGTGTATATCTTTATATGAATGTCTGCTTATATAGCTCGGCTGCTTAGATCTCGTATCACGATAACACTACTGTTTTCGCTACTCATTTAGTTCGCTCGTAATGAAATATCAATCTAGACAACTTCGTTTTTAACTTCTTAATTGGACATACTATTGAGCAACGGTGATTAAGTTGATTTGTTTACCATTTTTATGATGGTACTCATGCATGGGGACTCTTGGAAAATGATAAAACCTTACTACTATCATATCACCTTCTAGAAAGTTTTATGAACTTCACTAAATACTGAAGATGTTAGATAAATATTTTGAAATCCGTATGGTTTGATTATTTCAATGACTGCATGATTTTAAATTTCCATCAAAAATCATTAGCTATACAATAATATCAACTTTTCAACAACTGTCTACCTAAATAAAGTTTACGTTTACGTAGTTTGTCATTTCACAACCTAAAAGTAATTAAATGATTTGAATTAAAATTCCATATATATATATATATATATATATATATATATATATATATAGTATTTCAACTCGTTTTTTAAACTTTTAACAGGGTTTTTTAAAATAACCAATAAACTGAATGAACTTATCTGAATTCACCGAATCAACAAATGTTTTAGCAAAGAGAACTTCATTTTCTGTTATAGCCGATATTAAACTTATATTGGTTCCAAGCGTTGATGGAACTAGGGCACTTGCCGGTTTTCCTCTTGTAGATCTTCCCAAGGTTCTTCTTAAAAGAAGATTCATCTATAAAAAACTTTAATAAATGTATCTTCAATGTTCATAAAATTTTGAGCATAAATTTGGCGTTTGTTTTTACTGGATTCCGAATTTATATTGACCGATGTATAAGAAATCTTTTTCAAAGTAATCTGAAGTCTATATAAATTATCCTTCTTATAGATTCAAGAGAAAGGCCTATAGAAAATATGTTTTCTATTTTTTCTCGAATTTCTACCATCGTTATTAACGGGTTTAATTCTATCAATTCTTCAACAAAATTGATAATATCACCGCATATCTTCCTTCTTATTTGATGGTTTTCCTGTTTTTTTTCTTCTCAACTCGCGATTCCTTTTTATATATACAACCTTATAATATTTGTAGCGGCCTGATAATTTACATCTGTAAGAAATGCCGCATCCTTGACGCTGTATCCATCTTCAATAACTTTTTTTATAAGGCTTTTTCTTTTTTCATTCGAAATCAAGTTGTTTTTTCTATTTTATTTCTGACATTTTAAGGATTACAAAAAATTTTAAAAAACGCTGTGAAAATTTTAAAAATTTTTTTGGTTATTTTAAAAAACCCTGTTAAAAGTTTAAAAAACGAGTTGAAATACTATATATATATATATATATATATATATATATGCATAATATGCTAATTATTTCATTGAATAATTATATATATTTCAGCAAGCACAACAAAAAGTACATTTGGAATCTAATATTCCTCCTGATAACATGAACACGACTCCTTTATTGAATACACAATCAGGTAAATTAAATAGTTTATTTTTTTTAATGGAAATATTAAACCAATTTGTTATTGTATGACTATGAAATTATTGATATGGTTATTGAGTTATTTTCAATTTCAGCTTTTTTGAGCCATCGATTACTATGATCACGCGGACTCCAACCAAGTAGTCGACACCTACTGACATATGACTCAATGCACTTGTCAGTAACTTTATGGATTTGTGCTATGTTTTGGTCTAGCCGCCTTTAACTTTCTTCCCACCTATTCCTACATCGCAAAACATATCTCCACGAGGCATTTGGTGGTTAGGCATACGTAACACATGTCCCAACCACCTTAATTGATGACGTTTCAATACTTCATCAATTGACCAGCCATCTTTACCTAGAACTCGTTTCCTAATGGAAGCATTGCCCACTCGTTTGTCCCAGGAAACACGAGGAATGCTTCTAAGACATCTATGATCGAATACTAGTAACGTACGAATATTTTCTACTCTGACTGGCGATGTTTCACAGCCATAAGTAATCAATGTTAACAAGCTTCAGATATAGCTTTCAGAGAGTTTTTGTTATTCGACTTTAAATATCTGACATTGAGTTCTTTTGCTGCATTGTATTATAAGCTAACCGGAGAAATCCGGTCATCGTTGTATGTGTTGGGAGAGCATTAAACACGTCATTTACAGGTTTTTTCATAACCATTGCTCGGTTTGCAGATTATGTAATTTGTCCTTAGTTTATAATAACCCTCATCGGTTTAAGTGCTTATCACATTTATTTTACAAATTTCAACCATGTTATGAATATTGTACAGCTATTCTCGCTAGGCTACTGCTATGAAATGCACTGTCCGACATCTGAACGCGGTACGTGCCAACCACCCCCGAACTGACTACTTGAGCAGGAAGATAAGAGTAGAAGAGGAAGTTTATTTGAATACTGTATAATATATATCACTACTCATATTTAAGCATCCATTCTCTTTGGAAAATGAAACAAATTTCTTGACCAATGATATGCATTTGCCCTTCAAGCTGTCTCTGAAATGCTCACCAAGTGATCTTCACGTTCGGCCACTTTTGGTTGGCTCTTTATCACAGCTAATCTAACAGCTGTTAATGTCAGTGAAATACACTAGTTTATTCAGTCATTTTTATCAGATTTCCAATGATCCTCTTTTAAATTTATTCCCGTAGTTATCTTGTTATTGATTTGTTTAGCTCATTAAATATGGCTGTTTCCTTCCATGTTTTATCTCTATAAATAACGTTTAAAATTTTTCTGAATCTGCTTATTTTTTTTTTTAACAAAATTTTACTCAAAGTACAATATCTCACTATTAACTCATTTTTATTGATCAGTTTTCTGTTAAACAGGTAAAGCATTCACCCAAAAACCTTTTTTTTCGTAAGATTTTTAGGAGGTCTTTAATGGTTTTTAATGTTTTCTGAAACCTAAATTATTATTTTTATTACTAATATAATAAATATGGTCTGGGACGTATCTATAGTACAAATTATGTTTAAATAAAATTACAAACCAATAGTGTACATAGGCTTCAGAATCTTAAGGGAACAAATGTCATATGAAATATTATTGTTAGTCACTGTCTACCATGTGATCGTATCTCCTAATGTTGCTCTACTGACTTGTGGATTAGATTTGTAGGTCAAGGACTTAAGTGATGGCCCCATATATACGAACCACCCATTTTCTATTTGATTATGTAGGCACTATTCCAGTGCACTCGCAAATTCACTGATTTGTATTGCGCATAAATATTTAGGTACCAATGTTTATGTGATGATCAGCACAGGACGAATGTTAATAGCGGTCAGTTTAACGCTTTATTATTGTGTATGTATGTGTTTAGAAGACTTGAGTTTGCACAACTGTTTTTTCACTAATTTAATTCTCACTTTCGGTAAATCACCATTTAGAATGTTTGTCTTAAGTATAGGTGCTACTGTAATGTGGTATGGCAACATGTACTTATGTACGTACGTACGAATTTCTACGTTGTAACTAACTGATTGACTGATAGGTGAATAACTAGCGGTAGTGTAGATTTTGGAGCTATTCTACTGAGAATTATTAATAATGGTGAGAAGACGTGACAAGTAAAGTTCAACCCTGTCGGGTGTAAGCAATAACAACCGAAGACAAATGAGTAAGGCTGCACAAAATCCCTACATTAATCAGGGTTAGACATGAACACCGTTAGATGCCGGCTCAGTGGTTTCAAAGGTTAAGCCTTCGCTCGCAAGACTGACGGCCCTGGGTTCGAATCTTACGGGTAAGAGGAGCACTCATGGATGCTCACTGCTGATAAGTCTCATAATAGGATGAAACGGCTGTCTTGCAGTGCTTCCAGGTTTCTAATGGTGGTGGTCTTACAGTGACTGATTCACGATTACATTAATAAACAATCTCCATAATTGTCATTGTATATATATTTTTATACTGACTTCATTGTAAGCATTCATTTTACTTAAAAACTTTTGATGTATCATTTACCATTTATCGATTTTTATTAATTAATTATACATTTATTGTATTTCTGTATAAATTGGGATATTCCAATTACAGTACATCGTGTTCATGTAGTCAGTTGATCTTGTATATAAAATGCAAGCATTTTATACCATGAAACAATACAAAGTAAATTGACTTTTACATTGTTCGTATTTTGATTGATCATTATAGAATAAAAGGAAATTAGGTTACCTAGGACTACAATAAACATTGGGTTTGGTTGTGTTTATATGTATTACTGTTTAAAGTGAAAGGTCATTTGTTGTGTAGACATTAAAGTCAACTCATCTTTGAGTAGTAGCTCTGTTGAAGTTTTAATGTTAAAAAAAAAATAATAATCATTTGTTTGTTATTGTTCATCTAAATGCCATTACCAAATTAAAGTGAATGCACATTGCCACTAATGATGAGTCCTATATTAGGACGAAACAGCCATCTTGCAATGCTTCTAGGTCATCTAATGCTGATGGTCTAACAATAATTAATTGATGATTTCAAATGTATCCTCAATGTGTAACTGTACTCTCATAGTTTTTTTTTTTTAGAAAACTATTTACTTTTCGTTTCTTCCTAAATTATTTTATTTAGTAGATAGCACTAACAATGACAATACAGTACAGTTAGAAAATAACAATAATGATAACAATGATGATAACAATTCAACTCAATTATCAATAATGATTGATAATAATGATGAAACAAACAATCAATCAATTCTTAGAGATTCACCTTCACCTTTTGCTGTTACTTCTCCATCTTCTTCTTGTAGTTGTTTATCACAATTAAAACCATCACCACAATCTCAGTTATGTAATAATAATAATAATAATTCATCGTTTGATAGTTCTACTACTACTACTACCACTGCGACTACTACTACAACTACGACTACTACACATCATCATCATCATCATCGTATTTCACCAAGACAATCTTCATTACTTGTAAAGATGAAATCATTCACTAATAATCATCATCGTCATCATCTACCGACAGGGCCAACAACACATTGTGACTATAATAATAGCATTAACAATTCCACATACATGATGATGAATAATTCATCGAAAATATTTACTCAATGTCTTTCAGATAGTGAATCTGATCAATACGCTGGTTATGATGACAATGACAATCACAATGACGCTGGTGCTGATGGGGAGGTTGTCACTGTTGATGATGATAATGGTGATGATGATCATCAGACGAAAACAACAGAATCACCTGCAAAGAATAAGAAGAAAATCAAAAAGACCGCCACAATGACACATGATGATGATGATGATTCAATGATCAATAATCATAAACATCGTCATAGTCAAACAAAAAAAGTAATAAAAACTACCAGTACAACTGGTAGTAGTAGTAAAAAGCGTAAATGTCAACTTGTGAATGAAAGTATGCCACGAAAAAAACATGCGCTATTAAATGAATCGGTTAGTTCGCATGAAACTGATCAATTGAATGATGATAGTATTATTATTCATAGTAATAATAATAATAATAATAATAATGATAATAGTGAAATAGAACATGAAACTGATAAAAATCGAAATTTTTTAATTCAAAATAGCATGCCTAATGATAAAACTATGAAATCAGATGATTATTGTTGGATATGTCATAAACCTGGTGAAGTAAGTGATTTATACTCTATGCATTATTGAGTTGGTTTTAGATTTTTTTTTATTATTTTTGTAGACAATTCTATGTAGTTGAACACGATGGTATTCTACATTGTTTGATTTATGGGGAGCCAAGTACTAGTGTCACTAATCTTTACACATATCGAATGTATGACTGAAAGATTAATATGTGTATAAATGTGCTTGGGAGAGAGAGAGGTATCTAACGGTAATTTTAATAGTTAAGAAGAGGGAACTGAAGTACTTACTTACTTACGCTTGTTACCCATCGTGGAGCATAAACCGATGACCTAATTTTTCTGGCTAACGTTTTTTTAAGCGAGTTGGTTTTCTGTCTTTCATTCTAATTCTGATTGTTATAATTCTCTCTTATTATTACAACCCAGCTATTTTTAATGCTTAGTAGTATTCTCGGATACCGATTCACTCGAGACGTTTTCCCAAATCAGAACACGGTTCAACAGGAAATAGATTATATCCCAAGCACAAGGTTAGAATGGAAATCAGAGAAATCCAAAACATTTGTATACTTATCGTTTTCTTACATAAGAAGATTCTAGAATGTTTCCTCAGTATCGACTTGCGCTGATTGGATACGAAAGAGCCAATCAGCGTGAAACAACGCATTCATGCTTTAATCCAATCTATATCCCTCTAACACTAATCTTCTGAATTTCTCATGAACTTAAATTCTTCTGTTTTTAAATTTATTTTTACTTGGATCATCTCTGCAATCCCTAGTCTTTTCGATTATAGTTAATATTGGCTGCTACAACTCCCTACCATTATGAGATTTGAATTAATAATTCCATTGCTCTGCGTGCTAGTGTAGTGAAGGAGAACACAGGTGGGGTAACCGAATTGATTGTATTCAACGAAAATTACAGAGTGACTCAGTAAAATCAGAAAACCATATCGTAAATCGTTCATTTGCAAAATATCAGTTCATCATATCGAACTGGACTGTTCCTGCTGCAAAACATCACTCCATTGTCACTATTCATGCGTTTCATACAAATTCCATTGTGTTCTAACTCTTCCTTTCTTGATCTTCCCCCATCTTCTGCTGCCAGACTTTACGTTGACTGACACACGTCATATACTACTTATAAGTAGCTCGCACCACACTAGTATTGTTTGGCATCATGAATGAATGTACATACATAACAAGTTTAACCTTTTTTACAGACTGACTGATTGTGAGCATACAGTTCCAATCAGAATATTTTTTTCACATCCTATTATTATTATTATTATTTTTGAAAATTATTGAGTAATTACTTCCAAATTTATCGAGATTCACCGATTATTTCGTTTCTTTTTAATTTTCTTTCAAATTTCTCTAGGTTATAATATGTAGTTATTGTCCAAGAGTATTTCATGCAACTTGTTTATGCGTAACCGATTTTCCAGATATATGGCTTTGTCCTGAATGTCAAGATGTTACACTAGCTGAATGTTCATTGTATCAATTGAAATCATGGTGTCATATTACTGAAGATCAATTGAAACGAATGTTAATCTTTCTTTTAGATCGATTATCTAGACAATCTTGGGTAGGATATCAGTCTTCTTTTTTATTTATTTATTTACCTTTCATGTGTTTGCACTCACTTGTTTTACTTAGGTTACTGGTGTTGTGGACGTTAGATCCTCAGAACTCACTTGGAAAAGTCCTAATTTTGTAGTTTTTTGCTGAAATTTTTAATTTCCATGTTTTTGCACCAGAAGCGCTTGGTGGACCTTTAGCTCCGCCTGTAGACCCTTCGAAGCTACTGCCGGTCCCAAGCCCAGATAAAGGAAGAGGGTTAAGATGTGTGTTGGTGACCCCATCCTAGGAAAAACTAACTTCCCAAAAAACGCTAACAAGAAACGGTAATTCAAACCATATAAACTCTGCTCTGGGAGTTATAAGGTCTTCATTTAGAAGAATTATGACATCTCATGGTGAAAGCCGAGTTCCTTCGGAAGTTATGAGGCCCATGTCCCTTCTGACAATCAGAACCCTTCCACGGTTTGGACAGCTGGGAAGTAACATCCGCTCTCATGCCCATAAAAACACACGAGACCAAATTGGTCACAATCGAATCCACGAGCTTACATTTCCCCCTTAGAAAATCCTTGACTGTCATTGGTTGATGGATTATTTTAGTACGCTATTTCGTGGCTCTCCCAAGGGTGTTTCTATCATTGTATAAATAAGCTTGATTTGTATGCCTAAATACCTCGTATTTTCTGCGTGCTCGTAAAGTACATTCTCTACGCCTTATCAAAACTTCTTGATCTAGTTAGCAGGGCCTGAGACAAACCGATTAGAATAGCCTACCGTTTCACTGTATCATTGATCTTCGTTCTGTTTACCGAATAAGGTGAATTCGTAATAGCATTCAAGCATATGAATTGACGAGCATATCAGCTAGTAACTGTCTTTTCTACCGAATCCATGATTCGAATCTGTTGGGTTTCTTACATTTTTTAATGAACAAGATACTAGTCCATAGACACGGGTGCTAGGTAAGAGCGCCAGATCAATAGATGAAGTAATGAAACTTCATCAGTTGAGGTGGTTGGTACATGTGCTGCGTATGCCTAACCACCGACGGCCTTGAAGAGCTATGTTTTGTAGTGTAGGAATAGGTTGGAAGCAAGCTAGGGGCGGCCAAACCAAAACATGGCAAAAATCCATGAAGTCATTGACGAGTGGACTGAGCCATGTCGGTAGTTGTCAACTACCTGGTCGGGGTCCGCGAGATGATAATAATCGATGGTTAGAGACCTTGAATGACATGGCTCAAAATCGTTCGCAATGGCGCCGGTGAATTTATTCTTTGTGTTCTCTCAAATCCTAACCTTCTGGATTCTTCAACAACTCTAGTTTCGACTTTCTAAACTTTTCTCATTAAATCATACTTCTTGAATAATGTCTTCTAATCCTAACCTCTCCGATTACTCCTAATACCTTTACTACCTCTTCTACCATTGGATTTGAATTGACAATTACATCTCTGTGTGCTGTGATGTGGTATAGCGACATGAACTGATGTACTTACGTACGAAGTTCTACGTTGCATCTGACTGACTGACTGACTGACTGAGTCCATAGACCTTTTTCTCTCATTCATTGTTTTCTTGATGTGTTATGTATTCAAGTCTACTCCTATATTTATTCATTATTTTTGTTCAATCGGACAGTGTACACATTGAATTGAAAATGGTTTGCACCATACATTTTCACCATGTTACCAAAGTAAATTGGCTGTTGTTTGTTGTAATTTTTTTCCACTTGACTGTCACACGATATATTATAACCAAAACACAGCATGTTTTCCTATAATAAAACAGTGTAAATACAAATAATGTTTGTGTAAGTTGCGTAATTATATGACTAGTATGATATTTTATAATAGAATGTTTAGGCAATATAAAGTTTGTTCAAAGCTGAGCACAATCTATTTTGAATAACTCTAAAATTACTTAACTGCTGCTATGCTTAGTTAGTAACCAGAACAAGAACCAAAGAACAAGATTGGCGAAGTAGTTGGTCGGATTTAATTTGTCCTACAGATGTACTTCTAGAACAACTGTAAACGCAATATTGGTGGCGAGCACAGAGTCTATGAGAAAGCTATAGTTAGAACAAGACCAATTTTGCTTTAAACTTTATCTGTTTCTAAACATAAAAACAATTAGATTAGTACAATAATAAATAAGGTTATTACAGTTACCAAGTGAAACGATCAAACATAACGACCAATTTAGCGTGTCTTATGGAAATGAATAAAACTATGAGTCACATCAACATGATAAGATAATAATGTCCTTCAGTTAGTAGGTCATTTACAACAAAGAAAGTTTACAGTCACGTTAGATCAGATCACGTGATGCACGCTTAAACGACAATTTGATTGGTTGGTTATGACATAACTACAATTAGCTACGGAAGTAACTAACAGTGAGAAGACTGAGGCAGGCTCGATAGATTGTATCTAGAAAATTTACACTCTTAGTCAATTAAAAACGAAAACATTACATTGAACACTCTATTTGCACACCATCTTTGAGTTGTGACTTCCAACGCTCCATCCTTCTTCCATTCCTGTTGTTGCTTCCTTTCCTTCCTGTTGTTGGTACTCCATTTACTTCTTGCTTTTGCTCCATTTGCTTTCTGTTTTCCTCTAGTGACCGTGAGAGTTCTTCTTTCACGTCCCTTCTTATACTACTACTTATATCGTTCGTATAAGTAGCACACACCACAACAGTAGTGAATCTTCATCGTTTGAGGTGTTTGGGACATGTATGTTACATATACCCCAACACCAACTGCCTCGTCGATTAATGCTGTGTAATTTCGGGCGGGGGGTAGGCCGGAAGAATGCCAGGGTCCGCCAAACTAAAACATGGCACAAATCCATGAAGCTACTGTAACTTGATTACGCTATGTTAAAAGCTAAACATTACCTGGTTGGGGTCCACGGGACAGTCGTAACCGACGCTTAGAGACTCAAAATCGTTTGCATCAATGCAGATGCATCCATTTTTTGTCTCTTCTCATGAGCTCAGGACTTTTTCTTATCCATTTTTTTTCAGATAATTTAAAAATAACTTGGATTTCATATGAAATCGAAAGTGTAACCCGCAATGATAAAATCCATGATCGTATTAAGGTTTATTCACACCATTTATGTCTTATATATCATCTCTTTTTGTTCATTCTTCTCATGTCTGTCTTCATTTCTCGGCTTAATATGTTCCTTAGCCTTTCTCTTATCCTCCGGCCTTAAGGATTCCAAGTGAGGACTTGTCTTTTGACACAGTTGTATGCTTTCCGCAATGTTTGTCTTATCTACTTCCATCGCTTCTTCCTGATTTCCTCCTCCACTGGGATCTGATTGGTTCTCTCCCACAGTGTGTTGTCGCTGACGCTGTCTGGCTAATGGATCCTAAGTATTTGGTGTAGAAAATCTTAAATTCTAGATTAGTAGAGTTAAATTCATGATTTTTTTTCTCATCAATGTAGCATGGTCGCAGCAATATCCGATATATAACTCATAGTTTGATTATTATTATTATCATAATAATCAGATTGTCAATCTATCCTCATAGTCAAGTACATTCGAATAAAAACGAAACGATTTATTCTCTGATCCCTCTTGATGGACGATGCCAATAGATTATAATATCTTTTGTTGTTGGTATTGTGGTGCGAGCTACTTATAAGTAGTATATGACGTGAGTGTCAACGTAATGTCCGGTAGCAGAAGATGGGGGAAGATCAAGAAAGCAAGAGTTAGAACACAATGGAATTTGTATGAAACGCATGAATAGTGAGTGACAATAGATTGATGTTTTGCAACAGGAACAGTCCAGTTCGATATGGTGGGACTGATAATTTGCAAATTAACGATTTACGATATGGTTTTCCGATTTTATTGAGTAACTCTGTAATTTTCGTTAAATACAATCCGGTTGCCCCACCGGTGTTCTCGTTCACTACAGTATCATTGAATATTGTTCAACCTGTTCGGGTGTAGATCATAACTACCGAAGACAGTGTATGAGGTTGCGCAACTCAGTGAATCAGAAATTAACACCGTTAGATACTTGCTCAGTGGTCCAGAGGTTAGGCTTTCGCGCGCAAAACCGAAGCGCCTAAGTTCGAATCCTGTGAAGTGCACGAGTCGTGTATACGCACTACTGGTGAGTCCCATACCACGACGAAAAGGTTGTCCAGTGCTTCCAGGTTTATAATGGTGGTCTAACATTGATCGATTCATGTGTAACCTTAACATTCTATTTCTATTTAAATGTGTTCATTTATTTATCGATTTCTTCATAAGTTTATTATTATTATCTTGATGATTCATTTAGGCACAATATTTTCGTGAACCAGTGGATGTAACACTTGTTAAAGGTTATAAAGAATTGATCAAGTATCCAATTGATTTGCGTTCTTTGTATTTTGTGAGTTCCTTTTTTTTTTAAATCTGTTAATGATTTATGAATATCTTATACTATTATTATTATTATTATTGTTATTAATTATATAAATTTTCCTTCAATGGGCAAAGATATTCTTACATTGGTTTTTTTTCTCTCGGGAGAACCAGACACTATCCAGGTATTAATACTACAACCTAAAACACTACAGCTTAATACTGTGACGTAACCATATAGGCAGGTACCTGACATTGTATTGCATCAATCTTATACGATACTGCTGATAACTATTCTTATATATATATATATATATATATATATATATATATATATATATATGTAGCAATGACCTAATGACTTAAATACAATAACCCTTTATAAACACTTGGTCACAGTTTTTAACTTTTCATCTTACAGGTAAAGTGTCATTTAAACTTAACGTGTTTTATTTTCGAATTTCAATGTCACAAGTTCATCATTGATTTGTGTGCATTCGGAATTAAGTTTCTATTTTGATGATCAAACCAAAACATGACATAGAACCATGAAGTCCTTGACAATCAATCAGTCCACAGCAATGCAGAACTTCGTACGTACGTACATCAGTTCAAGTTTCCAATACCACATTAGCATAGAGATGTAATTGTCCATTCGAATCCCATAGTAGTTGAGGTGTAGTGAAGGAGAACACAGGTGAGGGCAACCGAATTGTATTTAACGAAAATTACAGAGTTACTCAGTAAAATAGGAAAACAATATCGTAACCGTTAATTTGCAAATCTTCAATCCATCATCAATCCATTGTCTGACATTTCACTATTCATGCGTTTCATACAAATTCCATTGTGTTCCCACTCTTCTTCCTTTCTTGATCTTCCCCCATCTTCTGCTGCCAGACATTACGTTTTCACTCACATCATATACTACTCATAAGTAGCGCGCACCACAGAGGTAGTAAAGGTATTAGCAGTAGTCAGAGAGATTAGGGCTTGAGGATATTATTCAAGAAGTAGAATTTAGTAAAAGAAACTTACAAACAAAATGATAAAGTGATGAGGTACACCAAAGTTTAGGATTTGAGAGAGTACAAAGAATGAATGTACCCGCTCCACTGCAAACGGTTTTGAGCCATATCACTTGGTGTTCCTAACCATCGATTACTATAATCCCGCGTACTCCAACCAGGTAATCAGATCCTACCAAAATGACTCAGTCCAGTTGTCAGTGACTTCATGGATTAGTGCCATGTTTTGGTCTGGCTACCCCTAACTTTCTTCCAACCTATTCGTACATAGAAAAACATAGCTCGTCGAGGTATTCATTGGTTAGGCATACGTAACACTTGTCTCAACCACCTCAACTGATGAAGTTTCATTACTTCATCTATTGATCTGCCTTCTTTACCTAATACCCGTTTCCTAACAGTGGCATTGCTTACTAGGTTGTCCCATGACACACGAGCAACGCTTATGAGACACCTAGTGCCGGTTTCCTTGATGTGAGTCTTAATATTAGTTTAATGTTTCTTATCGCCGTTTCTTTTTCTATCTCCCTTGCTTACGCTACCCACCACTGTTCGCAATCGTTGCGTAGGCTTTTCATCAGCCTTAACAATTAGCCTGCGCCATGTTAGTAGGTGTTGACTATGTGGTTTGAGTCCGCGAGACAATAGTAACCGATAAATAAAGACTTTGAATGAAATGGCTCAAAATCCTTTCGAATGGCGCAAATGTCTCCACTCGTTATATTCTCTCAAATCCTAATCTTCTCAATTCCTCATGATCTTTTTTATTTAACTTTTTTCAACTGATTCCTCTAGAGTATACGTCTCGAATTCTATGTTCGATCACTAATCTTTTTAATGACTGCTTATTATTCTATAACCTCTACTACTATGGGATTTGAATTGACGATTGTGTCTCCATGCTAATGTTGTGTGTGTCAACTTGGACTGATATACATTCGTACCAAGTTCTACACTGTAGCTAACTCATTGACTGACTGGCTATGAACTGACGTTGAACATTGGGGTTATAAATCGTTGACAATAGCTAGCTAGCTGTTCAGCAATTTTTAATTTTCACGTATTTTTTTTATCTATTTATCTTGAATCTTGGTGAAAAGTATTTTTTCGAAAATTAATATACAAAATTTTTTTATTCATCATTCTTATTGTTTTAGTGAACTATACTCTTTAATCATGTATGTGAAATAATGTTACTGATTACAAATTGTATATGTTTATGAATGTATAAGGAATGTTCCATTCTTTGTTAGTTAGGTCGATCATTCAATAAATGTACTCATTTTTTCCAATTGATTATTTTTTAAAAAACACAGACATAAACTACTTAAGAATTAATTAGTAGTAAACATAAAACCGGAAACATTTTTTCCTTAAAGCATACATTCATCTATTAAATTCACTTATTGACTCACTTAATTTATTGTCTGTCATCAATCCAATTTGTGTATAAATTTCCACTTACTGATTGTTTCTTCATGAAAATATGTGCTATTCAAAGTTAGATTATGTCGTAGATGCGTCTTTTCAATACTCAATGGCTTAGATTAGTGAAGTATGTATTGCGTTTACTTCGAGCCCTCGTTTAAACCATAATAATAATAATGTTTGACTGAAAATATCGTAACAGTGCTCACTAGGGACTAGCTTCGTGAAGAAATTCCTGGAGTTCTAGTTGAGAAGACGTGACCAATGGAGTTCAATCTTGTCGGGTTTAGGCAGTAACTATCAAAGACAAATGGGTGAGGTCGCGCAAAAATCCGTGGATCAATCAGAGTTAGACATTAACACCGTTGGATGCCGGCCCGGTGGTCCGATGGTTAGGTGTTCGCTCACAATACCGAAGGTCCTGGGTTCGAATCCTGTGAGGTGTGGGAGTCATGGATGCGCACTGCTGATGAGTCCCATACCAGAGGCGAAACGGCCGTCTTGCAGTGCTTCCAGGTTTCTAATGGTGGTCTAACAATGATTGATTGATGATTTCAAATGTATAGTAATAATCATTATTATTATTCTACGGCTTATTATTTCTATTTTGTTGCTTCCTCAAATCTCTGTCACTGTTTACTTCGTTTGTGTCTATTTGTAATTTTTTTATATTTTACAGTTTGATTGCGATTAAGTTTGTCTGTACACAAACCTAAGCTTAAAATAAATGCAATAGAAGTTGATAGTTGACTTCTCGTTGAATTCAGACCAGAGGATCGATGAAAACCTTGCAGAATTCGAACCATTAGGAATATACCTTGCGTTGGATCAAAGTTCACTCTCCGGGTCGGAACATATAGGTTGGTCAAGTCTAAGGCTCTAGGCTTTGAGCAGAATAATAAATGCTGTATACTGTGATTTTTGTGGATTTGTCATGTGACATTGGTTGTCGTCTTAAGTCAAAGCAGGAAAATGTCTCCTCAATATACGTATCAGTGACAATATGATCAATGTTTTCCGTCCAAAGTAGCATCAGATAAAATTTGTAACTTAGTTCCTTTAGATTGTCTCATTAAATGAATGACTCAAATTAAAATTTCAAATTGGTTGAATCGTTTATCTATTCATATTTGATATTTATTATCGAAATGATGAATGAATCATTGTTAGACCAACATTAGAAACTTGGAAGCACTGGGAGGCTGTTTCGTCCTATGGTGGGGCTTTTCAGTATTGGACATCCACGACCATGGCTCGTGGTTTGATTTTTAAAAAAAATAGTATATTTATAACTTACCAGTCCATACACCTTCAGTTTTTCAATATTTTTTCGATTGAGAACAATGAGAACTTCGCAATTCGAATTATTTCACTCTACTACCTGATTGTTAATTTTATTCAATTTTATCTTATCATATTACTTATAAGTAGTTATTGTTTTTCAATACAAACGTTTTCTATCTGAAATTTTATCTAACGTTATCAAACGTTAATTACCTGACACGTTGGATGTTTTCGCGCGGGAGACTGAAGTTCCTGGATTTCATTCCCGCGAGCGATGGACATAAACGAGCACTACGGACAAAACGCCTGTCCAGTGCTTTCAGGTTTCTAATGCTGATCTTACAATGATCGATTCATGATATCTAATGAAAAACAACCATCTCTTTATAATGAATTCATCAAAAGCATGTTGCATTTTTTTAAAAAACTTGGATGATGTATCTTATTTTAAAAGTAGTTCAACACCTTGAAACAAATATATCAGCATTTACTAACCTGATTAATTTAGTGAATAAATGGCCTACTTAATATTGAATCTGTTCTGGATGTTAGATCCCCAAAAGTCGGTTGATAAATGCCTTATTTTGGATTTCATGTTTGACAGCATGGGCTGATCAGTTGACCTCGAGATTTCATTTCCCACCAGGAAAATCCATGGCTGTGATTGGCTGCTGTGTATTTAAGTGTGTTATTTTCCCTAACTGTCTCAAAGACGTTTCTATGTTGTATAAATAAACGAGAGTTGTATGCTTGATCGTACTGTGATTGCTGGGTGTTTGTAGAATATACTTTCTACGCTTACAAAGCCTTTTATCTTCAGCTTGGGATTCAAGGTAGCCTACCTGGACGCTGGTAAAAGTCTCGTTCGCGTTTATTGACTAAGGTAAACTCGTAATAGCCTCAAGCATACTTAGTGACGAGCGTAACAGAACTTGTACTACTGATTGAAATTTAACAAATTGAATGAAGCTGTGACATTGCTGTTTATTAAGCTGACTGTGTTACATATCACTGTGATCACTACCTGTTATTTTGATGCCCTATGCTTCAACTTCTTAATTGTTCATCTCGTTAATTTCATATCACATAATGCTGACACACACACAGTGTGTAGGTGAGTGAGTCAATGTCTATTTCTACCTGATCTCCTACATTCATTTCGATGGATGGATTTGTTTTCACTCTATTTCGTTGCAGTGTATGCAGGTCCTCATATACATTTGACTTGGATAATGTATTTAATTTGGTTAAATCCCTTGTTTTAACAGACTGAGTCATTCGTATTTCCAATATCTTATCTGTATGTACCACTGTGCTTTTGTTATTGAGCATTTAGGCTTGAGAATTGCCTACGGCCTGGATGTATACTCTACTCGCTTTCATGTTAGCCTCTTTTAAATAATTTGATGACTCATTCATTTACCCATGCAAATATATGTACATTTTTAATCCTGTTCATTCGTTCGTTCGTTCGTTCGCTTACTCTCTCGCCTTCTCGCTTGCTCTTCGATATTTACGGTATCATTTTCACTTCATGTGCCTATGGTTTTGGTGATCGATCTGGTGTGTCGTGCGAAAATAAACATAATCAACGCTTTGTATTCGTCTTCTGATTGATACACCGTTAAGTGTTATCTAGTAACGGTTATCAGGACCAGCAGAATACGAAGTCTAAGGAATTATATTGAATACCGATTGCCATAGAACTAGTGAGACCACATACACCTACCATAGATGTTTTAAACGATCATCTCTTTTCTATTTATTTATTGGTTGCTAAGTTATTCTTTTTTTTGTATGTCTACGTTATTTCTTGTACATTTTTGGACGTATATATATATATCAGCGTGTTAAATCTGGAGAATATGCTTCACCTCAAGCTTTTCTTGGTGACTTTCGATGGATACTTCATAATTCGATTGTATTTAATGGTGGTAAGTAATATATATATATATTTCCCGGGGGAATATTTTTTTCCAAAAAAAATTTTAATATGCATTATATACTACTTATTATGGTTTCGATTTTGTTCATTGATGAATCAAATACACAACCTATGCGATTCAATGAAAGTTACGTGTAAAAGCGGTTAGAGTTAGAATAATTTGAAATTTTTTTTGTGAAACAGGATAGTGTATGTTAACTTGTCAGATTTAATGCTCAATGGTCAGTTTTCACGATTATTCAGATGGTTAGTAATATTAGGGATGTTTTTACAGTACAGGTACATATGGTCATTTTAGGAGTTGGGGTCCGCGAGACGAAAGTCACCAATGGTTAGAGACCTTGAATGACATGACTCACAATCGTTTGCAATTGCGCAAGTGGATCTATTCGTTGAGCTCTCTCAAATCCTAATCTTCTGGAATCGTCTGCACATCTACCTTTGTCTTTCTAACCTCATCTCACTGAATTATACTTCTTGAATAATGTCTTCGAACCCTAGTCTTCTTAATTACCATTAATACCTCTACTATCTTTATCACTATGGGATTTGATTTGATATTTGCGTCTCTGTGCTAATGTGATATGGCAACCTGAACTTATGTATATACGTACGTAGTTCTACGTTGCAACTGACTGACTGACTGACTAGGAGTTGGGCAAAATGGATCCTAAACCAAGTGGTATTCATATGCAAGAACCTGTTAGTACGTATGGTTGATTTATCGGTTGTTAAATCATTTCTGGTATCAAGCTAGTTTCATGAGTGCCATTTGTGGTATGTGGCAAGTGAAATCACTATGGCTAATATTAATGTAAACTAACTTTAACATCGTTATTCTGTTAAACTAGGTGGTGAATGATTAAGTATATTCTTCATTTCGGTACTATAAAATATGAACTATTAAATTCTAAATCAAGTGGTTTTATATTCATTGTGCTTATCATCATTATCATGAATTTGTTGACCTTGGTTCGAATAGAGTGTCATCATTGTATGTCGCTAGTGTGTATTTTCAACGATTCTTAGATTTGATTCCATTGAACAATCTTTGCAACGCTTTCTCCTGTGTAATAACGATTAGCTAGCAATAGAATGGACTATTACAACACATAACTTACTTACTTACTTACGCCTGTTGCCACCAATGGAGTGTAGGCCGCCTTCTCTTTTTAGTTCTGTCCAATATTTGTTCATTCTTCTCATGTCTGTCTCCAATTACTTGACCTTTCTCTTTTCCTTTGACGTTGAGGGTTCCCATTGAGGGCTTGTCTTGTTACATATAGTAAGGTGCTTTACGAAATGTGTCCTATCCACTTCCAGTGATTCTTTCTGATTTCCTCCTACACTCGAATCTAGTTTGTTCTTGCTCACTGTAAGCAGTTGGTGATGGTGTCTGACCAACGGATCTGAAGTATTTTATGTAGTTACAATATATAACAACTACTCGGTTAAATTGAAGTAGAGAATAGCTATTTCAGAATAAATCTAATTTTTCTAAGATTTTTCATGTTCTCACTGTCTCGTTTTTTTTTCTTTAAATTTTAGCCAATTCTTCTCTTACATCATCTGCACGTCTATTAGATCGTACATTTCATCGTGAATTTAATCTAATGCGTGCATGTCCACAATGTTATCTTAATCGTATGCCAGCTATACATTTATTACCATCAACAACTAAAAAACTACCTCCATTAACAGAGAATGAACCAGATTCTTATTTAAATGTATCTTCTATACAATCATCAATGTTATTATCAAATAAATTCAATGATAACAATGATAACAATAGAAATGATGATATCAATGGCGTGAATGATGTTCACAATGAAATCAATAAAGATGATACTGTTAATAATACTACTCATAATGAAGATAGTAGTAAATCTAAAATCTCTTCAACATCACAAGCATCATCATCATCATCAGTATCAACATTAGATCCTTGGTGGTTTTGTAAATTATGTGTAAGTAATAAATAATTTTTATTTTATCTACATTCGAATTGAATATTAATCATAAATGAACATTTAAATAAACAAATTCATAAAAATGTTATTCTGTGTTTATAATTCCGACCGTAGCTGCTACCTTGACGTGGTGGTCGGGTTTGCCTATGGTGATGACCCAACTGAGCTATATTGGCTGGAACATATGTTCCTGTAGGTCCTACTATGCCAGGCAGGTCGGAGAACGGTAAGACTAAAAGAAGCAACTTAAGGTCTAAGGGAAAAATCGTACTGCTGACTGTAGAGGAGTGCGACAACAGTAAAGTGTTTCCCTCGATCAACCAGCATATGCAGCGATGCTGCCTTCTCACAAGGAAGGAAGGGCTTAGAAAAGGTCGACCCTAAAGATCTCACATCTTACCTTACCTCACGGGAAGTGAAAACCGCCCTCATACCTATAACAGCACACGAGACCAAATTGGTCGAAATCAAATCCTTCCTACACCAACACACACCTCTCTTATTTCCACAACGAACTCTACTCACAGTCCCTTATCTCACTGCACCGCTAATGCATACGAAGCGAGTTCACGAAACGTTATTCCTGGTCTCTTGAAACCCCGCTCTAGACTACATGTTGTAGCATATAATGTACGGACATTGTGTCAAATAGGGCAACAGGCATCATTAGCTAGAACTTTAGAATCTCACTCAATCGATGTATGCTGTGTCTCGGAAACGCGCATACAGGATCCTAGCAAAGTTATTAATCTGCTTTTGCCTTATCAAAATAAAGAAGCATCCCGATTTACTCTTCGTGTATCCGGTAACCCTGATGTTGCTTCCCGGGGTCTCGCTGGTGTAGGTATAGTATTTAATCGTAGGGCAGAACTAGCTCTCCTAGACTGAATCCCTGTAGATAGTAGCTTGTGCGCTAATCTACTTTACTCTTCAGGTTCCTCAAGAAGACACCCTTCCACTGTGTGGGCAGCCGGGAAGTGATATACGCCCTCATATCCGTAACAGCACACGAAAAAAAATCAATCCATTCATATAATCATATTAAAATCGATAGGTTCTGTGCAAAAATAGAACTATTATGTTCGAGTTATGGAAAACGTTTTATAGAAAGTTTACTCTTAAGATGCTTACACAACGTTTTTTTTTTGTGAATGAGCAATATTGAGTTAAGATGAAAGATTATTTACTTACAACTTGTGGAGCATAGGTAGCCAACCAGGTTACATCGGTTAACTCTGTCCTGAACTCTTCTATCGCGGCACAATGTTTCTTTTAGCGTTGAGGATTCTGAACTCAGGCCTGCATCGTGGCTTAGTTGGGTAATCTCCATGATGTGTCTTATGCATCTTCAGGGTCTTCGCCCAATTTCTTCCTCAACTGGATTCTATTCTGTCCTCTGACGTATTATGTTGTTTCTGATGGTGTCCGTCTAACGGATTTGGAGTATCTTGCGTAGATAACTGCTTATATATTATACCTGTATGTTTTAAATGATGGTTTTTGTAGTTCTCCAAGTTTCAGCTTCATACAATAGAATTGTCTCGACATTTGTATTAAACATTGTGACTTTGAAATTGGCTGACAATTGTTTTGAGTCTCAGATATTCTTCTAATGTAGAAATCTTTACCTTTACTCTGCCAGTTCATTCATCACGTCTCCTTGAGATTCCTATAAATATTTAGCTACCTAATTGCTCAAAACTTGATCTAAGCGTAGTAATTCAATTCTCTAACCGTAATTCTTATTGCTCACTCACTCATACACCTAAATTTAATCCGAACACCGAACCTTAACATTTAATCTGTTTTAGGTTCTTATATGATACATTCATTCAGTCACTCTAAGTCATTAAGTATAGAGTATATCGACCTTCTTTTCTAGTTCTGTCCAATTATTTTTCATTCTTCTTATGCCTGTTCCCGTTTTTCGGCGTAATGTGTGTCTCTTGGTCTTCCTCTTTTCCTTCGGCCTTGAGGATTCCAAGTGAGGACTTGTCTTGTGATGCAGTGTGTGTCTCCTATCCACCTCCAGCACTTCTTCCTCCGCTAGAATCGGATTTATTTTCTCCTACAGTAGTTTGTTGCTGTTAGTGTCTTGCCAACAAGTTCAAAGTATTTTGCGTAGACAACAGTTGTCAAACACTTGTATGATTATCTAGATGATGGCTTTCGTGGTTCTGCAAGTTTCCATACCATACAATAGAACTGTCTTGACTGCGAACTCATATACCTATATATTTATCTCAACTTATAACCCTAACATCTAATCTGTCTTAGATTCTTATATAATACCTTCATTTAGTCACTGAAATTCATCATTATAGAGTATATACTGTAGTACCCCACTGGTACTTCAGTCTTTGGTTGGTTTGCGTTAGCCAGGAGGTACCTTTGTGTTCCGAGGGTTGTGTTAGAAGAGCAGTGTGTGAGATTATCTGGAAGAAGAAAGAATAAGAGAAAAAGATGAGCCCGACGACTCAGTAAGCACATAGAATGCAATTTCATACAATAGAGGAATAAATAGATAGCAACCAGAAATAAAGCCAGAGTGAGATTAAGACAAACTGATAAACGAAACTAGGAGTCGACAGAGTAAGGTTTCGAATGCTTTACACAACATACATTTACGTTTGTTCATATTTCATTTGGTTATGAGCTTTATTGATTAACTTAGAAGTTATTGCAATACGAATGACTCAGTTGACTCATATTATTGTTGTACTTCTATGAACAGGTCTGATCGAACAGAACATATCGCTCACCACCTACGCGTATATTCGCATTGATGTTAGCTTCTTTTAAATAATTCGATGACTCATTCATTTTCCTTAGTATATATATGTACATTTTAATCTGATTAGCTCACTCACTCGCCCGCTTGCTTACTCTTCGGTACTCTCATGTCATTTTTGATTCGTTTGTCTGTAGTTTTGGTGATTCGTGTGTGGGGTGCAATTATAAACGTAATTAACGCTCGGTAATTCGTCGTCTGACTTATACATCGTTAGGTGTTATCTAGTAACGGCTGTCAGGATGAATTATATACGAAGTTTAAGGAATTATATGAAATACCGACCAACAAGGATTACTTACTTACTTATGTCTGTCATTCCAGATGGAGTATAGGCCGCTGACCATCATTCTCCAACCTACTCTGTCCTGGGCGCCTACATTTCCAGTCCCGTCCATATCTTTCTCCGTTTCTCGGCTTAATGTGTTTCTTGGTCTTCCTCTTTTCCTTTGACCTTGAGAGCTTGTCTTATGACGCAGCTGGGTACTTTCTGTAGTGTGTGTACTATCCATTTCCAGCGTTTCTTCTTAATCTCCTCCTCCGCAGTCTAGTTTGTTCTCTCCTGCAGTTGCAAATGGTGTCTGGCTCCAAAGTATTTTCCGTAGATAACTGTTAATAAATACTTGTATCTTCTGAATAATGGCATTGGAAGTTCTCTAAGTTCCCACCTCATACAGTAGAATCGTCTTGATATTTGTGTTGAAAATTATGATCTCGGTGTTTGTTGATGGTTGTTTTGAGTTCCAAATGTTGTTGTTCAGTTGTAGAAATGTAGCCCTTGCTTTCCTGATCCGCGCCTTCAGATCTGCATCATATCCGATTCCCAGCACGTCCAGATTGTATCATTTCATCTCTGCAGCTATTTGGAACGGTTTCCTGGTCTCCCACATTGTTCGAACATCCCATGTACCTAAAAGAATGGTTTCTCTGGTTGTCAGAAGGGGCATCGGCCTCGGCTTCGTGATTTCTGGAAGAACTCAGCTTTCACCATGAGACGTCATAACTCATCTGAATGAAGACCTAACCCCCAGAACAGAGTTTAGATGGTTTGAATTGATTATCCTCATTAGCGTCGTGTTTAGCGAGTTAGTTTTCTACTGGATGGGGTCGCCAATCCCATGCCTAACCCTACTCCTTTATCCGAGCTTAAAACCGTCAGTAGCCTCAGAGGGATTCCAGGCTGTGAGTTAACACAGAATTAGTGAGCCTATATTCACCACAATAGTTTTTGCATTTTCAAGCTTGTATAGATAAAGATGAACGATTCAAACGAAACATTTGTCATTATCATCATTCGATTAGTTTTTAAACACAATCACTTGATTCCTTAATAATCTCTCATTATTATTTTCAGGATGCTATTCACCCAATTGTCTGGGTACGTCTTCAAAATTATCCACGTTGGCCAGCTAAAGTAATAGCTCATGATGGTAATTGTTTACTTGTTTCATTTTTTGGTGATTATGATGTAATTGTTGCACCAACTGGTTCCGCTAAACTACATTCAATGAATCGTTCCAGAAGTTTATTCAAAAAACAACAACAACAACTCTCTGGCATGAATAATTCTAACAACATTCATCAAACTATCAGTGATGTTTCTGATGAAGCTGGTGTCAATTCACAATTATCTAAGACTAATTCTACAATCATGTCTAATTCAGCAACTCCAACAACTCCGAAAACAACAACTTCAACACCAACAATCAGTAATACTATAGTGAAAGAAAATTTTCATAAAGCTGTCACTGAATTAAATTATCATATGAATTTAATTTATCAACGTTATCCAAATTTTAAACTACCTATGAATCAATTGAAATTTACTAAACGTCATGTTAAACAATATTATGGGTAAGTCAATCATAAAAATATATATATATATATATATATATATATATATATATATATATGGTGTTAAATGATTTTCAATGTTTATTGATAGATAATTTAGTTACACATTTTTGAAACCATGAATCGATCAATGTTAGACCACACCATTAGAAACCTGGGAACACTGGACGGCCGTTTCGTCCTGGTATGGGACTCCTCAGCAGTGTGCGTCCACAACTCCTGCACCCCGCAGGATTCGAACCCAGGATCTTTAGTATTTTGCGCGAACGCCTAACTATCGGACCAATGAGCCGGTATCTAACGATGTTAATGTCTAACTTGATCAATTCATGGAGTTGCACAACCTCATACACAGTCTTCGGTAGTTACTGTCTACACCCGAACAGGTTGAACTTCACTGGTCACGTCTTCCCACTAGAACTCGGAGAAGATACCTCACGAAGCTAGTCACTAGTGAGCACATGTGATTGATTGCATTACGGGGTTGTGAAGATCGAAACCATGAATGCGCACTGCTGAGGAGTCTTATACCAGGACGAAACGGCCGTCCAGTGCTTCCAGGTTTCTAATGGTGATCTAACATTGACTGATTCATGGTTTCAAAAATGTGTAACTTAACAATCTTCACAACCCCGTAATGCAGATAACTAGTTATGTATTAAGTCTGTCTGATCAGTAGAGCTAATATTTGGATATGTTGTAGCAAGTTGAACTACTGTATGTATGTATGTACTGAAACCAATGTTTTTGTAAGCTGACTGATCAGTAGAACACGTGAGATTTTCGAGAGTCTCATCAGTGCTGACGGCCTGGTGACTGACGAAATCTTAGCACTTATACAGAAGGCTCGATGGGATTCTGCCAACTTGTGTCATTAATCGCGTAGGTGAGATATCCGTTTTCTAACTAAAGAACGAGTGTACTGCACGGTAGTTCGCTCTGTCCTACTTTATGGTCAGTAAGAGTAGAAGACATTCATAGGTTACTGGTTTTCGATTACAGATGTCTTCGAAGCATTGCTCGTATATCCTGCGATAAGTGAGTAAGCAATACTATAGTTAGGAATCGAGTACTAGGTAGGGATAGCAGATCAATTGATGAAGTAAACTCCACCAGTAATTCTTCTACTATCTCCACCACTCTTGGATTTGAACTGGTAGTTGCGTCTCTGTACCAATGTTGTATGGCAACCTGAACTGATGTACGTTCGTACGAAGTTGTACGTTGTAACTGAATGACTGACAGGCGAGATTTTCATCATCCTATTTATAAGTGAAGATCTAAATTAATTGTCCCATTTTGTACATATATAAGTCTAAGAAGTATAAAATATGATCTTTGAAGACAAAACAAATATGTGTCTTTCAAAACATTGATGTATTGGGGGGGGGGTGGGCCAACAGCTGAAAGGAAAGTGTAATAAATCGGTTAATAATCTTTTGGATCTTAATAACCTGAAATTATCAGATGTGCACAAAAATCGATTTGATAGTAAAAGTTTCACTTGCTTATCAGACTTAATTATTGATTATCATTTGGAGGAGTCTACTGTTAAAATTTTCTAATATTTATGTCAATCAATCAAACAGCAACGTAGAACTTTGTACGCCCGTACATCAGTTCAAGTTGCCATAACACAGAGATGCAATTGTTAATTCAAATCCCATAGTAGTAGTGTAGTGAACAAGAACACATGTGGGGCAACCGAATTAAATCTATCGAAAATTACAGAGTTACTCAGTAAAATCGGAAAACCATATCGTAAATCGTTCATTTGCAAAATATCAGTTCATCATATCAAACTGGACTGTTCCTGTTGCAAACAACATCAATCCATTGTCACTATTCATGCGTTTCATACAAATTCCATTGTGTTCTAACTGTTCCTTTCTTGATCTTCCCCCATCTTCTGCTGCCAGACATTACGTTGACACTCACGTCATATACTACTTATGAGTAGCTCGCACCACAGTAGAAGTAGTGGAAGTATAAGCAGTAATCGGATAGATTAGGGTTAGAAGATATTATTTAAGAAGTATCATTGAGTGAGATAACTTTGGAAAGATAAAGATAGAGATGATGAGGAACTCTGAAGTTTAAGATTTGAGAGAACACAAGGAATGAATACACCTGCGCCATCGCTAACGGTTTTGAGCCATGTCACTCAGGGTCTCTAACCATCGATTACTATCATCTCACGGGCCCCAACCAGGTAGCCTACATCTACCAACATGACTCAGTCCACTTGTAAGTGACTTCATGGATTTGTGCCATGTTTTGGTCTAGCTGCCCCTAACTTTCTTCCAACCTACTCCTACATCGCCAAACTAATATATATGTATATTTTTGTGTAACAAATGAGTACAACTAGTATAATATCTCCTACAAAATATTTTTCCCATTGAAATGAAAATAAATTAGTGATTTTTATGTTACACAATCTTAATGGATTACTTTCATACGACAATTTACTGATTCATCAGTTGTCAGTTAGTCTATAGTGATTATTTTACATTGAAATCGTGATTTATTCATCGTTAGACCACCATCAGAAACCTGAAAGCATTGGACGACCGTTTCGTACTAGTATGAGACTCATCAGCAGTGCGCATCTGCGACTCCAGCTTCTCACAGGGTCCAGCCCTTACCTTTGGTCTTGCACGTGAATGCTTAACCCCTGACCCGGCATCCAACGGTGTTAATTTTTAACTCTGATCAATCTAGGGATTTTGTAAAACCTTACCTATTTATCTTCCGGTTTTCCCCCTCGAAATGCAAAATGTTGTTTCAAGAGTGGGTTGCATCGGCACCTGAACTAGTGATAGGGAGTGAAGTAGACGAACGTGTAGACCGCTTCACTCATCTGGGGAGTCTCATCAGTGCCGATGGCCTGGTGACTGACGAAATCTCAGCTCGGATACAGAAGGCTCGATTGGCTTTTGCCAACCTGCGTCACTTATGGCATAGGCGAGACATCCGTTTGCTGACGAGCGTACTGCGCAGTAGTTCGCTCCGTCTTACTTTATGGCTGTGAAAGATGGCCAATGAGAGTAGAAGATATTCGTAGGTTATTGGTTTTCGATCATAGGTGTCTTCGAAGCATTGCTCGTATATCGTGGAACACCCGAGTGAGCAACGCTGTTATTAGGAATCGGGTGCTAGGTAAGAATGGCAGATCAATAGATGAAGTAATGAAACTTCATCAGTTGAGGTGGTTGGGACATGTGTTGCGTATGCCCAACCACCGACTGCCTCGACGAACTTTGTTTTGTAGTGTAGGAATAGGTTGGAAGAAAGCTAGGGGCGGCCAGACCAAAACATGGCAGAAATCCATGAAGTCATTGACAAGTGGACTTAGCCATGTCGGTAGTTGTCGACTACCTGGTTGGGGTCCGTGAGATGATAATAATCGATGGTTAGAGACCTTGAATGACATGGCTCAAAATCGTTCGCAATGGCGCCGGTGCATTTATTCTTTGTGTTCTCTCAAATTCTAATCTTCTGGATTCTTCAGCATTTCTAGTTTTGACTTTCTAAACTTTTCTCATTAAATCATACTTCTTGAATAATATATTTTAATCCTAACCTCTTCGATTACTTCTAACAACTTTACTACCTCTTCTACTATTTGATTTGAATTGACAATTACATCTCTGTGCTGATGTGGTATGGCAACCGGAACTGATGTACTTACGTTCAAAGTTCTACGTTGCATCTGACTGACTAACTACCTATTTATCTTCGGTAGTTATTGCCTATACTCGACAGTGCTGGACTCCACTAGTTATGTCATCTAGGTTTTTTTTATGCTGATCGAACAATGAATAAATTACTATTTTAATGTAAACACAACAACACATATATATATATATATATATATATATATATATATGTCATATAACGTTCATTTTATAAATTTAGTTAATGTGTATACAATAGACTTTTTATTTATCTATCCATTTTCTTTATTCTTGCGAATACATGTAGCATTGGCTGCAGCCATTCATATGGTTTGTGTTTTATCTTTCTACTTTACTTGACTTAATATTTTGTTAATTTTCAATTAGACTTTTTTATGTGTGTGTTTAGTTTACCTATTATCTCATTGAAATTCTATAAAATATATACAAGTTGAGTTAAAAAAAGAAATGTTTTTATTTTTACAAGTAAAATTTTCCTGTTTTCCGAATCTTTTTCGTTCAATTTGTATTAAGTATTTATAATTTTTTTTTCAGTCTCTTTCTCTGTCTCTCTCTCTGTTTGTTAATCTTCAACCAAAAAAAATTATCGTTGATTATACATGTTTGCATTGGTGGTATATGTTATTGGGCTAATTTTAAATTAGTATTGAGAAGGCTGAGTCAGGCGAGGAAGTTATCTCACTGAACTATACTTCTCGAATCATATCTTCAAACCCTAATCTTCTCCATTACTGCTAATTTCTTCTACTATCGTTAACACTATGTGATTTGAATTGACAATTATGTCTCTGTGTTGATGCTGTATAGCAATCTGAACTTATGTACTGATGTCCGAAGTTCTGCGTTGTAACTGACTGAATGATGTTAACTTACATGTAAAATATTATGCATTGAATTCTTGACAGGAAGTAATATACAGTCGTAGGTCTTCCTAGGAAATGTAGTAGTAACATTAACCACGGAATTGCATAAGAATCGCATCATCACGAGATCTAAACTCCAATATTTTAAATTTAGCATATACACCAAACTGTCTGAAAGTCATTGCTACATTTCCGTTCAATGGGTCATGAATAGATATTTCAAACATGATTCAGGCTTCTAAACATGCTTCAACCTTTATTTCTTCATTTGGTATTAATTCGAGATGTAAATTTACTTAGAAATTATTATTCAGTTCACATAAAAGTAGTATATCCTCAAGACTAGTTATTTATGATGAACATTGGGACTATACTTCAATACAATGACGGCACTATTGAGAAGACTGAGGCAGGCGAGGAAGATTGTATTATTATG